TATATATATATATATAAAATGTATTCCAAGTCTAATAAGGTCATATGAAAGCTTTGCATGAGAAACAAGCCTAAATTCATTATTTATTCACTACTAAAGTCATTATTCACTGATAATCTTTCCCTCCAGTGAGCTGTTGAGTAAACATCCGCTGCGACTAAATCATTGAGTCAGTGAGTTGACCAGAGAACCGTGTAAGTCTGATTCATGATCACATCTGTAAACCAGATCAGTAAGTTCACGAGTCATTTGACACAAAATAACAATGTTTTTTCACAAATATCATAAGGAAACATCCAAATATGCTGACTTCCCTACTATATATGTAGTATGTGAAAAACAGGATGCCAAAAGAGGATTATGTCTGAATTCATTGTATTCAAAAAAGAGGCGAAATTTTTATTATATGTATGACTTCAGAAAACTTGGAATATAATGCACAATTCATATAGACAATGTTTTATGGTAAATTTATAGTGGGTTTTTTGTCTTGTTAGGTATGGAATGACATACCGGGATTTTTTATTTTTATTTTTTTTTGGTGATTACTATCCAGAGCCCTTCTTTTTACTCCATCCGAGTTCACCTGCTCTATGCCCAGCATTTTTAGCCCATACCCGTGACAGGGAGTACCTGTAGTGCGAAGATTTCTGTCTGCTCTTTATTGCAGTTCCACCGCACATTATGCAATTTAAGTAGCCTGCAATTGAACACGTAAGACGTCAGCTGTGAAACCAACCTGTCGATACCAAACTCGTATTTCCCACTTAGAGAGTGAGATTACCCAGCTGATTGGAAAATCAACAGGAGGAAATGACATTGACTTTATGGGTTATTTCTTAATGCTTGCCTTTGAGTCTATTGATTGTGCCATAAGAACGTCTCAGCTGTTTCTGCACATTATGTTGAACAGGTTAAGCAGGACTCAAGCCATATTGTGTCTGATGTTTTTCCTCTTTTAATCTCAAATAAAAAAACAGTGGAGAAAATTGAAATATTTATTTATTTTGCCTGATTTGAGCTAAAAAAATTGAATTAACTTTATTTTATTGATTTTTTGACAAATGTTACTAAGAAGTCCGCTTGGCAAGCACTTTTAGAGATTGTAGTCTTTCCTGGGAATGTTACCAAGATGATGACAGAGTGAACTGACTTCCTTTTCAATAATTTTTTTTTTTTTGAAATCCAGGATTTCGTCATGTATATATTAGTTTTTGTTGATCTCTGCTCTTTCGTTTTCAGATCAGAAGAACGCTGCTCCCTGTGACTTCAGTAAGAGAGAGAGTCTGAGGCCAGCTTCAGCAGCAAGCTACCTTGAGTTAAAGGTTAGTCTTTGTCCTGTTGCTTCAAAGAGCAGATGTGAGCACACACACAGACACGCATGCATCCGTTTGGTTTCATTAGAAATGCCAGGGGGCTGGAGAGGTTCCCTGTCCATTCACAGCCAAACACCTGCAAGGCTTTCATCCCCTATCTGTCCACTCAGCCTTTATCACCTGCCACCCAGCCAACCACAGCACACACACACGCACGGCATCTAAACAAACCATACACACCAGACATGCCTCTCGCACTGCTAATTCACACTGCAGCATGGCACACACAAGTCAAAATACCACACAAAACTTCTGTGCACAGCCCCACACAGCAAGTGTTCACTCCAACACATCTTGCTGAAAAGGCCATCTTAGACCAGAAGGAATTTTCACAGCGTCTTAACCAGGGTTTGAAATTAACTTTTTCACTCACCAGCCAATTTGGCTACTACATTTTTAAGTTACCGGCCATTCATATTTTCTACTAGCCAAAAAAATTAAACAAATAAATTATGATGCTGTGCGGGAGACTGATCCCACTCAGCTTTAACGCGCGGCTGGCGGATGCACCGGGTAGCGCCGCTTCACTGATTTGACAGCGTTACCCGCCACAGCTGATTTTTAACCGCATTTGGCGGGTTAGCGGGTGTTAATTTCAAACCCTGGTCTTAACCAAGCGTGATGCAGCAAGGCGGCAAACAATACAATTTCTTTCATGTTAACCGAAACCAAAAATTTGGAATATGTTGAGCTAAAACACTTTAAATAATGTATAGGCTTCAACATTTTTTTAAATGATATTTCCTGACAAATATCACCATTAATCTTCATTTATTTTCCATGTTAAACTTTCTGATATTCAGGTGCTTAAAGTTTTTTTGGCTAATGTTTGGCTAAGACAAACTTATTTTCTCATTCTTTTGACAAATAATTTAGGGTCTGCAAAGAACATTATAAAAAGCAATAGAAGATTCTTGAGAAGCACCATCAAAGTCATTGAAATATGACGTCATGACTGCTAAGGACACATAACCATGCTCTTGACCAGCTGAGCTCAATTGACCAAGCTAGTCAAGCCATGTCCCCTAAACATATTCTGGTGACTGGTCTTTTCAGCAGTGCTCACACCAAGAGCTCCACCTGGTTCAAATACCTCATTTTGAGTCACTGAGGAAATCAATACATGCTCCAAATAATATAAAAACAGTGTGCTCTACCTCTGTCAATCTGTCATTCTCATTCAATATGTCAATTGCAAAGGCTGCAACTCAGTTTCTAAGCAGCCTATTTACTCTCATGTGGAAGGTGCCAAAGTGAAAAGGTTTGTGTGACTTAGCTATCCGTTTCCCCTTCATGGGTTAAAGAGTTTGACTAATGCAATATTGATTTCGCTCTCTGGATGGAGAAGACACAAACACACCTTATTGAAATATGGATAGTCAAGCCGTCGAGAAAATATTAAAGTCCTCAGGGGGAGGGGGAAGTCAAAATTAAGCTGAATTTTACCCTTCAGCCACAGAAAAGGGTAAAAAAAATACTTTGTATTGATAAAGGATAAAGGAAGGGATTTCAGCCGTTTTCAAAGCGGTTTAATGTCAACATTTGTGTGGTTCTCTGTTCTTTTCATTGCATTTCAGTACACAGCGTGTTGTCCTTCGAAGTTTCAAACTGAGTAGGTAGAAAAGCCCACACAGTCAGCAAGGACACTTTTGAGGTCAAACTATGAAGATGTTCAAAAAAGAAGGTCAAAAGAACTGCAAACACACACATATGCGTATTATTATAGATTTTAATTGTGCAAATAATTTGTTAGCACTGTCATACTTGAGTAATCGAGCAGGGTAAAGGATCTGATTGTGATTAGTAACACTGTACTCCTGCAAGCTTAGCATCTTTTGTATAATTGGCCTGGTAAAGGAAGCTGAGTAGCCATTTGGGGAGGCATTGTGTTTGATTCAGTCCTTGTTAAAATGCCATTTTGGATTTGAGTGCAAGGGGCTCTGCACCTCCAGGCAAGTGCGGAAGGACTCAGAGCAGGATTGGTGCGAACAGTCCAATTTTTCATCATTATTGGTCATGACATATCCAAAGTGGCAGAGCGTGGGCTAGAAGGAGAACAGTGGATGCTTCAACCGGGCAGGAAACTCTCACGCTGGCACATTTGTCCCTGCAGAGTCTTCTGCACAGCCGTGACAACAACACAATTCTCTGCTGGCTATTACAGCCAATGGGGTTAAAAACAAGAGCTCATTGTTGTTCTTACACACTTCTCTTACTTTCCTTTCGCGTTCTAGACCTAAACAAGTGTTGGTAGCAGTATAGCATTAAACTAGCTGCCAGGGTTGTGCGTCATTCAACCGAATGCCTTTTATCCCTTGTGGAAAAAGATGTACACTTCTTTAGTATAGTGTACTTAGTATGGCAATCAACACGTCAAAATATATATTAAAACATAATGCTTTAAAATTGATTTTAAGTTAAATTATTGAATTTATATTAAACAGTCATGAAAGTGTACTCACTTAAGTGGTGTATTATTTCATTAATATTATGTTATCCTCAAGTACAGTGTTGTTTTTTTAAATATACTTTAAATATTTGAAGTACACTACAAGTGCACATTGAAAATGTGGAAGGGAAGGGAAATTCCCATTTATTTTCTTAATTTGTACTGAAGTGTCAGACAGAATGCAGAATGGATGCAAGGAAGTAGAATTAAAATGTAATTAAATGTATTTTTAACTAAACAATCAGTTTGTCAGCAGACAGAATGCAGAAATTGAAATTAAGAAACTACAATTAAAAAGGAAATATATGAAATTCATATAAATGTAATTTTTAACTGAACAATCAGTTAATGTTAATGCAATTTTTGATGTTAATTGAGGCAATCCAGTAAATTCCTCTTCCTGTCATTCCTATTCTCATTCCAGATCAACTTCCTGTTCCTGGTGTGCCCAAGTCAATTCTGATTCCAACTGATTTGTTAATTTTGTAATTGTAAATGAGCCAGTTTTGATTGTCACTGCTAGTAATAGATTTAGCACAGTTGAGGTATATACTTCTAATGTTGGATTAGCATTGCCAAAGACACCTCCAAAGTGACAGGCACACGGGCTACAATGGAGCCATGGTTGTGTAAGAGCAACATGGCTTACATTATCTTAGCAAAACCCATAGTGCACACTGATGACATATGTTGTCATTCCTGCCGAAGAACTAATTGAACCCAAGAAAAGTTTTCACTTGAGTCAGGGTTTTTGGCACTTCCAATTAGATAGATGCATCTACATACACACTCAGCACTGCTGTATCTGCTAAGTGAACACACATCTCATTGTTTGTCTGGGGTTATAGTAAAACTGGGGCAGGCAGAACACCTCCCAGACTTTCAGCACATGATGTTAGCACAATTCATCTGTCATCCCCCAACCCCGAAAACCATCTGCCTTAGAGGCAGCAACAGCCTCACAAACACCTCTCAACATTCCTGCCTCCATACATGTGAATCTCACACTCTATAATAAACAGCTGTGGCTTGCAGTATACAATCACGAACAATCTCTTAATTTACATGTTGGGTGCTTTGTGTACTGTAAGGCCATGACTTCATAGAATATATTGGGCACCTATTTTAATGGGAAATATTTTAAGCATTGTTAAAATTAAGTTAAGATGTGGGATTGTTGTGCTGATTATGCAGTAGGTAATAGCTTAACTCTAAGATGGTTACATCAACAAAAATCAGCATGAAGCTTTCCCAACTCATTTTGCTTCAGTAATGTGATTTTTCTGTAAAAAAAAAAAAAAAGAGGAAAAACCTGTTCACACCAAGATAAGTATTTGGTGTGAAAACTCAATGCAATAAACATTTCAGATTGAATAAACAACTGGGAATGCACCTGTTCAGACCAATTTAGACATTTGTATGTCGTCAATGCAACAAGTTTTTGTTGTTGTTGTTGTTTGTTTTTTGCAGATAATTTTTTTCAATTGCTCTACGAAGAAAACTGGCCAACCAATAAGATGCAGCTGTAACATAAGACTACAGCTTCACAAACAAACTATTTTGCTCAGCATCAATGAATAGCAGAGGAAGAATCCCGAACCAGCTCTTTTGTCTCTGTATTCTTGTATTTGGTGTTATTTGATGAACACCATAGAAAATACTCAAATCTAAATGGCTGTTTGATAACAGGTAAATTCTGTTATTACAGGTAAAAAAAAAAAAGACTTTCTCTCTATGATCTGCGCATGTCAGAAATGGAAAATTGCACTGCACTGCACATTTTTTTAAGTGCCACCTACTGTTAGAGAGTGAATTTGCATTTTCATTCAGCCTGTCTTCCATTTTTTGCATTGGTTTAAACAGACAAATAAGATGCAAAAATTGGATCAGCTTTTCGTGCCATACACTGGTGTTGACCTAAGTAAATGGGGTCAATTTTGATTTCATGTGGACTTCAGCAAAAGGCAAGTGTTATTGATCTTTTCAGCAATGACCTACTTGCATGTTTAAGGATGTTTTCCCATTATGAAGGTTTCCGCACATGACTGCTGTGTTTTACAAGGAATCTATTGATGTCCCATTGCTGTGGGACAGGGCAATTCGTTTAGGTGTTGTGATGTATTACCAAGGCCTGACTGTGTTGTTGGGTCATTAGTTTACTTAATACTGGATCCTGGGGAGTGCTAAAATACTGTGTTCTCTCACACATCCATCGCCTGCTGCGTGCATGTGTGTGTGCTACCATCCACTATTTTTCCTTTTCTTCTGCAAAAGCCTCTGAGAAAGTGGAAAACCAATGTATGCTATTATGACTTAAGTTTAGGAGTGGACTTTAACCTGGTAGCTTTAATCATCTCGGACTAACAGGCAATTAAGTACATGACATGCATTTTATTAATACCGTCAGGCAAAGAGAACAGAGGCGATTCCATTCCAACAGTTCACTGCTTTGGAAAAGCCATTTTATAGTGGAAGTTCATGTGAAGATTACTTTCAACAC